TTTATTTATTTATTTATTTATTTATTTATTTATTTATTTATTTATTTATTTATTTATTTAGGTAAGGAATTAAAAGATGATAAAACATTTGAATTAGAGGAGAGAAGGAACGAACCAATTCGTTATAATCGTGAATTAATGCAAGAAACAATAAAAGGAATAAAAAGAATAGAAGAAATAAAAGAAAGAAGAAGAAATATATTTTATAAAAAAAGAATTATTAATTCATTTATTAAAGGAAAAGAAGAAGAAAAATATAATAAATTATTACATAAACATAAACATTTATTAGCATATATGCAGCAGCAAGAGCAGCAACAGCAGCAGCAACTAAATAAGAAACATAGTATAAGACAGACAGCATTACTTAATAAACAATTAGAGGAAGAAGAAGAGGAACAAGAAAAGGAGGAAAAAGAAGAAGAAATGGAGGAAGAAGAGGAGGAAGAAGAAGAAGAAGAGGAAGAAGAAGAAGAAAAAGAAGAAGAAATGGCGGTAGATAAACCAATTAAACAAAAAAATAAACAAAAAATTACTCTTAAACATTAAATATAATACAGGAACTGCAGCAGCAGCAGCAGCAGCAACAGCTGCTGCTGCTGCTGCTGCTGCTGTTGCTGCAGTTCTTGCTGCTGTATCTGCAGCAGCAGTGGTTTGAAGGGACAGCAGCAACAGCAACAGTATGCAGCGACATCCGCAGCAGCAGCAGCAGCGGTTTGCAGAAACAGCTGCAGCAACAGCAGCAACAGCAGCAGCAGCAAATGTTGTAGCGTCTGCTGCTGCTGCTGCTGCTGCATATCTTGCGTTGTTCTTTAGAATGGGAGTAACATTAGGGTGGTGTATTTTATTTTCTTTTTGTCTGAGCTGCAGCAGCAGCAGCAGCACCAACTGCAGCAGCACCAGCTGCAACAGCAGCGGCAGCTGCTGCTGCTGCTGCTGCAGCATTTCTTCTAACTTTTATATTCGCTAAGAACCCCAAAAAGGGTTTGCAGTGTATAGACATCGCAACAAACCCTCGATACACGTAACGGCCAGGTGCTGCTGCTGCTGCTACTGTTGCTCCTTCTGCTGCTGTTGCTGCTGCAGTTGTTGCTGCTGCTGCAGCATATGCTGCTGCAGCTCGATAGGCATCTAAGCACCTTCGCTGTTACGATAGATGTAGCGTAGTTCTGTCGCTGCTACAGCAGTTGCTGCTGCATCTGCTGCTGCTGCTGCAGCAGATGCAGCAGCGGCAGCATCAGCTGCTGCTGCATTTTGGTCCATAAGAAGGGAAGCTGTAGCAGCAACAATAACAAGAGCAGCAAGAACAGCAGCAGCAGCAGCACAACATTAGCTCCTTAGTGTTCTTATTTGCAACTATTGAACTAAATGTATACTAAATTATAATAATATAAATAATATAAATAATAATATTTAATTAAATTTAATTAATTTAATTTATTAATTTGCTGCTGCATGCAGCAGCAGCAGCAGCAAACCCCCCAGCTCTAAACCACCACCTGCAGTAACACAGCAGCAACACAGCAGCAGCAGCAGCAGCAGCAGCAGCAGCAGCAGCAAGTCGGCGCAGGGTTTATGATGACAATTGGATATAAATTTGTTTATTTTTTTAATATAATTAATTTAATTATAAATTAAATTAAAATATAAGTTATTTTTTTCTTTATAAATAAAAAGGGAGAGGAAGAAGAGGGAGGGAGAGAGTGTTTGGTGTACAGACACCGATCGCGCCCTTGTCCTGCACACATCTGCAGCAGCAACAGCAGCAACAGCAGCAACAGCAGCAACAGCAGCAGCTACAGCAGATCTGACTAGCCAATAGGTGTGTGGGGGTGCAGCTGTAGCTGCTGCACATCATCACCTTGAGCATCAGCAGCCGCAGCACAACAGCAGCAGTAGCAACAGGAGCAGCAGCGTCCGCAGCATCGACAGCAGCAGCTGCAGCAGCAGCAACTGCAGCAGCAGCAGTTGCTGCAGCAGCAGCAGCAACATATATTCACCATGTCAGTCCGTGAAGACCCTTCATCTCTGCCTGTAGAGACGGATAGTTATCCTGATGGGTCCCAAACCCTAAACCCTAATCCTGCTGCTAGCTCCCTCCCTCCGTCACAGGCCGAGGGTTTGTGGTTTAAGGCAATAGAAGAAAGAGCATTAGCTGAGGACTTCCTACATATTGATCATGAGGTCAGGGTTTAGGGTTTAGGGTTTAGGGTTTAGTTGGGGTTAGCGAGTTTTGGAGGCAAAAGGAGGGTTTAGGGTTTAGGGTTTACTAAATAGAGTCCGATTATTGCACAAGGTATGGATTTTCTAGGGTTTAAGATCAAGATTGGCGAATTAGGGTTTAGGGTTTAGGGTTTAGGGTTTGCATGCAGCTGGTGCCATGTCGCCCTCTAGTAGAGTTAAGGGGTCTTTCTTTTCTTTCTGCAACAGCAAGAGATGAATATGCTAAAAACCTCCGACCTGATGTGGTACGCTAAACCCTAAACCCTAAACCCTAAACCCTAGTAGAGCATATAAGTATATAAGGTGTTTTATCCTGAATATGCAGGCCCTTCTTGTCCCTGTACAAACCCTAAACCCTTTTATATATATTGCCACCTCTCTTACACTGTCTAACAATAATCCTCTCTACAATTCATACTTTAGGGTTTAGGGTTTAGGGTTTCAGATTTTAGGGTTTAGGGTTTAGGGTTTAGGGTTTAGGGTTTAGGGTTTAGGGTTTGCATATATGAAAATGTGTATTTTTTTTTTTTTTTTTTTTTTTT